TACTAATAAAAACAGTGCAGAAAATACAAAATTGCTAGGCTGTGTGTAGACCCATTGGAGGGATGAGGATTAAGCTTTGTATATATTTACGTGTCCATTTTGTAAATGGACCAAGTTCTTGATTTGAAGTCATGAGATCTCTCTCGATGGGACCATTTCCTCATGCATGTTGGTCCGTTTCACATGTGTGTGGTTCCATACGTATCTTATACGTATACAATAGTTTTATATATAGTATCTACCGTCCATAAACTTGCATACTTAATTATTGACTAGTATTTTTTTTTTTTTGTTAAAGTATTGACTAGTACTTTGTAAGGTTAAATCTCTTATTTGGTCTTAAAATATACATCACCAACCAATAATCAATCTATTACTTTAGTAGCATAATTCATATACAATATATATTCTCAAAAAGGGAGAGAGTCATATATAATAATGTAAGAGAAATAAATGCAACATATCAGAAGTATCCGTCTTATTATATAGTCAAACATGCACAAGACTTTTACATTAAATATCGCCATATCATTTGTTAAAATCTTCAAAAATATTAGTGTTAGGTTGAGTTGGAGCAGCTGTTGAGTTTAAAAGTCAGTCAATAGTCAATACAAACTTTGTATATTTCTTTTGGTAACTATTTATATCAGCTTTTTTGTTTGATTTTCTATTTTTGTCATCTTTAGGCAGTGTAGTAAAACTTTAACTATAAATGTGTAAACCTATAAATAATATCTATATTATATAGATTGAAAGTACTAAGTATGAAACCACGATCGATAGCTATCTACAACTAAGCAAAAGGATTATAGAGTTTAATTATCAATAAAGAATAGTCACAATGTGTCAAAGCCGCCATAGTAATTAATTGATTTCGATAAATGATAATAGAGTTCTGCTCTCTGAGATAGGCCAAACTAAAAAAAATGCTTAGTGGGTAGTTAGATAAGCAGCAACTTAGGCACTATAACAATGATAGCATCTACTACATAAAGCTTTGTACTGTACAAATTTATAAATATTACATTCGCGCATATAAGTGTTTGTATCATGTATATATATGTATGCTTTCATATTAATCTCAAAAGTCAAAACCTCGATTTTCCTATAATATAAAATTAATCCTTTCTTTTATTGGGTTGAAAAACGTATGTTAGATCAATCCGGTTATAATCATTAGTTAACACTTAACATCAGTTTACAGAGAAGGTGCCACATTTTCACTCTCACATTCCTAGCTAAAACATAAGTTTACATATGGTAAAATATAACTACATTGTTTGAAGTAATATACTATGAAATCAGTTTCATATATAATGTTTTCAATCCTTCGTCTATGCATGTCCCATACTATATGTGTTTAAGTACTAATTATTCTTCGTACCGTTTAACCAATTTTAGAAACAGTTATTGGTTTTGCTAAAAATTACGAAATGATAATGTGATATACACTAAGGGATACATGAGCCATTAAAC